TTCCTCACACCATCCTGACATTCGTTGAATGGCTTTTTTCATTTATTAGAACACTAATTTAGGAGATGAGTTTAACCCTTTATCATCAAGCATTAAATTCTACTCTTTCTGAAACAGGGTTGCTCTCAAAGCGACGACACGCATTCCAACGGGTTTGTACCTAGATGGCAGTCTACCGACAGCTTTGAAAGAACACAATGACATTATGTACAGAATGTTTAATTTGTATTTGCATGTTCCTTGCATATTTTTGTTTGAAGAACTGAAACCAAGGAATACAACTGTGAAAATTAGAGGCAACTTGCTCTACACATCTGGGTTGTGCTCAGCCAAGTGTTGATATCATCTTGGATAAAAATGTAAATATGACAAAGTTTGTTTTTCAGTCAGTAAGTCTTGATAAAAGCTTTGAATTGCAACCAACCAAAAACAGCTTTTAAATTTAAACAGGGGTCGGCCAACTTTTCCTGTAAAGGGCCAGTTAGTAAATATTTTTAGGTTTTGCAGGTCACGTATGGTCTCTGTCACATATTCTTCTTTGCTTTCCTTAACAACCCTTTAAAAAATGTAAAAATCATTCTTAGCTTGTAGACTGTACAAAAGCAGGTGGCAGGCCACTTCTGGCCCACAGGCCGTAGTTTGCCAACCCCTATTTTATGGAAAGTCGACCTAAGAAAAATACACAATGTTCGAGAATAAAACAGCTAAAAGTGCTCTGATGAGGCTGCTGTTGTTGTGAGCCAGCCAGTCAATTCTGACTCACAGTGACCCCATGTGACAGAACAGAACTGCCCCATAGGGTTTCCTAGGCTATAAGCTTTAGAGGAGCAGATCGCCAGGTCTTTCTCCCGCAGAGCAGCTGGAGGGTTCGCACCCCGACTTTCAGTTAGCAACCAAACACTTAACCACTACACCACCGGGGCTCCTTCTGAGGAGGCTAGCCTTCAGCAATTGCCAAGATGCTGCTATTAATTGATGTGATTGCAGTCGTTACGTTGCACGTGGAAGGACCTTTAATACTAGGCTGCACTTTGATTTCCTAACCTGAAACTGTAGACACAGAAAGAAAGCGCAAAGGACAGCTATGTGCAGAATTATCCCAGCGTAAATTCCCACAGGACTTGGAGTCACTGTATTTGCATTTACTATTTCCCTGAACAGACCTGGCTAATCAAGTGGGGACATCATAACCTTCCTCACACGTGTGCAAAATCTAATGCCTCCTTGGAAAAGGTGGCGGCTTGAATTTACGGACATGATCACACTGATCGAAACAGCAGCAGCTCGGTATTTTGAAAAGTAACACAGTCTTGGATTTGGGGTCTCCCTCGAGGCTCTGCTACAGCCAGCTGTGTGATTTTGAGGGCGTCAACATAACCTGAGTTTTCTTATTTACAAAACTGGGCAGAGGCAGAAAACAGATAATTTCTAAGACACTTTCTGCTGTCAAACTATGACTATACTAAATATTGAAAGCACTCAGGAAATACCCTAGCAGCAAGAAGGGGCCAGGGGCAGGAGAGAGATAACAAAGGGGAGGAGATTAAACTGCCCCATCAGAGGACAGAGCTGGGTTTCCTCTTTAGTTCTACCAGCGCCTTGATTGGTACAGGGCCATTCCAAGATGTCACTTCGCCCTCATGTCCACACTGCAATGCACCCACATCCCACAGGAAATGTACAGCCAATCGTATTGCCGGTTCCTAGTTGTCTTAACGTTACATTCTTACAGAATTAAACGTCAATTTTGATAGGCTCATTGGTCCTAGGCACTAGGCCTATAGATTCAAATGCATAAAACAGCCCTATTCAATAGTTAACAAATAGTATCTGAATGATGGACCAGAAGGTCCTCAGTAAGTCAGATGAAGAAAATTTACCCACCCTCACCCCCCAGAACAGAAAGACAGTAAGGAAATGGGGGACCTGGGATATGAGAAAAGATAGCAAGACCCTCGAGAAGAGAGAAGAAGAAAGCATCTGTGAGACAACTGAATCTGGAATGAAAATAACTAATTGTCTCCTTCCTTTCATGATGGCGGAACTCCTAGCAAAACAGTGACTAAAGACTTTTAAAACTACTTACACTTTGACAAAGCAAAATTAAGACTTAAAATGTATCTTCATGGGACGAAACAGGCATGTGTACACATCTACCAAAACATATGCAAGCAAACCCGACGCGTTCAGAAATGGGTCTTCCCTGTGACGTAGGCCTTATCAAGTGTTGTCAGCAATGCTGTGGTAGACCTCATCAAAACCCAGTCAGAAAAGCCAGGGAAATTGCACACCTAGGTACTTCAAGAAATAATCACTTCTCAGGAGGAGATGGATCACCAACTCCCACCTCAACAACTTCAGACCACCTGGGGGTGAGGGTGGAGGACTCATGGGGGAAGTGGATATTGCTGCTAGAGATGTTAACACTCCAAGCCTACGTCTGTGGGCAGTGAAGACTGTAAGACTCTTCACTAGAATGGTGTTAATATTCACCTTATTTTCCCAACTTAATTTCAACCACAAAACATTAGGTTTCAGGTATATAAATTCTTCCGCTGTTTGAAGGCAGTATGCTACCACTTCCCGTCAGAGGTCTGGGGCTAAGTAAGAGGCATGGGATTCCCCCTCCTCCGTGTCAACTGAAGGCAAAGCTCATAGCCTCCTTTTACCACATCCACCCCACAGAAAATATAAAGACCAAGATCTTGCATGCAATTCATCCTATTTAACATCTACCTCCTATTCTAAACAGTTTCAAGACATTGGTTTTCATGCCGTAATAACTGCAACCTTCCAAACAACTCGTTTCAATCATTTAAAAAAAAAAAACTCAAGAAAGATTTTAATCCTTCAGAATGAAAAGTAATTTTTAAAAGCTGCTGTTTTAAAAGGAAGCAGACACTCTTCTCAGAAATGTGGGAGAAAAATTAAGGCGAGAAAAAGAGAAAACTAATAGAAGTATCGCAAACAAGCAAAAGTCATCCAAAGCGCGCAGGAGAAATAGCACCAGCGAGATTCATTCACTTTCAGGGCAGGAGGATACTTCTGGCAGACTCATCCATAGAATGGACAAAAGACTACCCGCTCAACTTGTTAGAAACTGTCCTTTAAGACCATCTGTACTGCATTATACATTCAATAACAAAGAGGAATGGCTTGGGGTTTTGAAATTAGTACCTACGTCAAAAATTAACGCCCTTTAGTTCCTGTACCAGCTCCCACCAAATCTCTTAGGAATATACTGGAGAGATGACATTTAAAATCTGCTTCCTCAGAGAAGAAAAAGTTCCACTCATGACTGACTGCCAAGAACCTGCAACTCAAACTTCCCTAAGCCCAGACATCACAACACACATGGGGTTTCTGACCACCCAATCCATATGAAAGTTAAGAAGCCCAAACAAACAAATAAAACATAGCCTTTCCTAATACCTGATTTAAAGAGCACTCTATACCTAAATATGCCTTCTGAAAAAAGATAAATTATGCTTTAAACACACAAATATTTGAACTCAGTTACTACCAAAGCACAAGCCCCGCAGTATTCCCCAACCCAGAAATTCATGGTGAAATACGCTGTAAGAACCATTGGAAAGAGGCCACAAACATCACCCAGACAACCAAAAGCTGAGATTCTTAAGGTGCTTAGTTACCTGCAGCTATTCAGTGAGGGAAATGATGTTAAGGTCACTTCCATAGGCAGCTTAAAACCAACTGTGATTTGCTCTTCAGTTTATGGTAAGTTTGAGATCTTATTTACCTGAACACAATGGTTTCCACTGCAAAAGTTGGAAGGACAGCTCCCAGCCAAGATCAGAAAAAACTCTTAAATCAATTGGAAGCAATGAGGTTTGGGGGTGGGGGGCATTGCAAGTTGTGATTCTTTAGTAAGTAATAATTAGAACCAAAACAAAATATACAGGGAAGCAGGGAGAATGTAAGATCAATTTGTTGGCTGAGCAGTTATTAAACATTTAAGCTCAAGTATTAAAAAACTGAGAAGTGTATGGAGAAGATAGTAAAGGGGTGAACCATATTTTCCTGACCACACCATTCCCAAAAATCACCAATTCGCTTAACACCCATTAACACTCACAGAACGATTTAATCCTTTTTAGACATTACTCCCATCATTAGTCACTTTTTGCTCTGTCTCCTGCACTTGATCCAGAGGAGTGAAGAGAGAGAAAATGGTAAACAGTGTTCTCAGTTACTGGAGAAAGTCCCGCTCCCACTGCTTTCCATTTCCTTTCTCTTCCATCTTCTCTGCTCAACCTCTCTATACTGTCTATCCTGTTTCTCTTTTCCTTTCTATCTCAAATCCAGCTCTCCTCTACTTTCTTCACCAAGTAGCCTCACTCCACCCTCTGGTCTCCTAAACTCTTCTTCCACCTGCCATTTTCTTCTGCCCCCTCCCATGACATCTCTGTCCAGACCTCTTGGAGACAGCGCCCTCTCATCTGTCACCTCCTGATCACTCATCCCACTCAGTTCCCTCCTGATTGCCTGAGTCTCACCTCTCCTGTCCCTTGTGTCCTCTGTCCCTCTACTTCATACTTCACATCCCTCCCACTTCCCCCAGCCCTTCATTTCCCCCAACCCTTCATTTCCTCCTTCACACTTCCTTCCTCTTTCCTGTCTTTTAATGCATTTTTACACTCACTGTCGTCTTCCCTCTCCCCGTGAGATTTCTTGTGTCCCCCCACTATGTCCTTCTAGGACCCCTCCCTGTCAGCCCCTCAGCCCTCTCATGCCCCCAGTATCCCTAGTCCTTGTCTGTCTGGTTCCCCTTTGCCTTCCTTTGCCCCCAAGTTCCCCCTCTCCACCAGCCCCACGTCCCCGCCCGTCCCTCTCTCTCACGCCTTCGCCTTCTCTTGTTGCCCTCGCCTCTGCCGCCCCCGGGGTCCCCTCCCCGGGACTCCGAAGCCCCACGCCTCAGCCCGGCCCCCTCGCTCCCGCCCCCGTTCTCACCCCGTCCGGGACCGCGGCCCCTCCCTCACCGATGGTGGAGATGAAGGTGGTGTTGAAGGCGTCCTCGGAGAAGCGGAACAGGAGGCAGGTCTTGCCCACCCCCGAATCGCCGATCAGCAGCAGCTTGAACAGATAATCGTACGTCTTCGCCATCTTCTCGCTCCGGC